GTGAAAAACGTATAAATTAATAAATATAGTGGTAGGGTAAACCCTATTGTGAGAGAAAAAGGAAACAAAGAAAAGGTATTATGTACAGCTGTATTTGGCGAAACCTCTCTTGTACTGGCTAAAAGCCAGTCTATTTTGGCAACATGTATGTCTTGCAGTTGCAACTGCAGAGAAATAGTAACAAGTTGTTATAAGGTAAAAAGATGATATTGTGTTACGTCCATGGAAGAGAATGGCTAGTCACGCTAGAGTGACAGATGAAACAGGAAAAATGTATAATAGTATTAATCCATGTACAAGGGAGCTGTTTTTGTACAGCTGCTGGTGATTTAACTGAGATTCTAAATTATGCCTTGATAAGCACCTGAATTTGTATCGGGTTAATCTCAATTTCTAGCTTGTCTGCTGAGAGATAGTTGCCTATTCTGTGCCTTCCAGGGCACCTATCTTGTTGTTTAAACTAAATATCTAAGATAGAGGCAGCACCTATTCAGCAGCTAATATAACTCACTGTCTGTTTTAGATGATTATCTATACTGAGCCTTCAGGGGCACCTATGATGCTAATACAGCTAAGTTACTAAAGTAAGAGCAGCTCCTATTTGGATTTTGTCCAGTAAGTAACGGCTCAATATGACAGCGGCTTCCTTATAAAGAGTGAGTATGGGGCTTAAAGCCGGTCAGGAGGCGGAATGTCGTCAGCTCGAGTAGAGAGAGCTTTGGATCATTAGGATGCTGAAGTCACTAATGTCCTGAGCCGAGCCCCGACGCGCGTTTCACCAGGCAGGCTCTTCAGGGGAAAGAGTAAGTACGGACCTTTTTATTTCCTAACTCTCTCTGCTCCCTGTGGTCTCTCCCCATCTTTCCCTTTTTATTTCCTACCTCTCTCTGCTCCCTGTGGTCTCTCCCCATATTTCCCTTTTTATTTATTACCTCTCTGCTCCCTGTGGTCTCTCACCATTTCCACCTTTTATTTCCTACCTCTCTCTGCTCACTGTGGTCTCTCACCATTTTCCCCTTTTTATTCCCTACCTCTCTCTGCTCCCTGTGGTCTCTCCCCATATTCCCCTTTTTATTCCCTACCTCTCTCTGCTCCCTGTGGTCTCTCCCCATATTCCCCTTTTTATTTCCTACCTCTCTCTGTTCCCTGTGGTCTCTCCCAGTATTCCCCTTTTTATTTCCTACCTCTCTCTGTTCCCCGTGGTCTCTCCCCATTTCCCCCTTTTTATTTCCTACCTCTCTCTGCTCCCTGTGGTCTCTCCCCATATTTCCCTTTTTATTTCCTACCTCTCTCTGCTCCCTGTGGTCTCACCCCATTTTCCCCTTTTTATTTCCTACCTCTCTCTGCTCCCTGTGGTCTCTCCCCATTTTCCCCTTTTTATTTCCTACCTCTCTCTGCTCCCTGTGGTCTCTCACCATTTCCCCCTTTTTTTCCTACCTCTCTCTGCTCCCTGTGGTCTCTCCCCATTTTTCCCTGTTTATTCCCTACCTCTCTCTGCTCCCTGTGGTCTCACGCCATTTTCCCCTTTTTATTTCCTACCTCTCTCTGCTCCCTGTGGTCTCACCCCATTTTCCCCTTTTTATTTCCTACCTCTCTCTGCTCCCTGTGGTCTCTCCCCATTTTCCCCTTTTTATTCCCTACCTCTCTCTGCTCCCTGTGGTCTCTCCCCATTTTCCCCTTTTTATTCCCTACCTCTCTCTGCACCATTTGTTCTCTCCTCATCTTCCCCTTTTATTTCTTACCTCTCTCTGCTTGTGGTACTTTTTTACATCTATGGAGGGAATGTGCTTTTTTGGGTAAAATCCTGTGACACACTGACAAAGACACAAAATAAACTATTTACCAAAATGACCCTGTCCACTAGAATGGAAATTGCGGAAGTGTGGGGGATACCTAGCAATCCTAGTCTAGGTACGGTTATCTTTAAACTGCAGATAGCAGCTAAGAGGGTCAAACTTGCAGCCAATGCCCATGACAGTCCACTATCATAGTATGTGACTCTTGGCTGCTAAACACATCTTTTATCCTCTGAAATCCTGTAGTTTATCTAGTACCCACTGCCGTTTCACATTTTCCATTTTCTCTAACTTTCTGTGGACTGACTACCTATCCGTTCTTTCTCTTTATCATGACTCTCTTAATGCTTGATTACTATTATATTCACTTGAATCAAATGTGGTTCCCCCGTTTTACTTGGGGAGACTTTCCCTTTTTATATCAGCTTGATCCCCTGATACTGGCAATGTTTCTACCCATTGTTTATTACTTTTTCTTTCATTCTTATAGTGCAACCATGAATTACATAAATCCTGATACACTGTGTTATCCATCGATTTTTCAAAATTGGCAATGCCGGAAACTACTCTTCAGTTTCCATTTAATTACAATTCATTGTTTAGTAAAAAAAAAAAAAAATCCCCAAGCTATCTCACATTTTCTTTCAGTTTCCTATAATGTACATTTTCTATAAACCTGAGTGGAAGTCAGTAGTCACTTTAAAGTTAATTGATGCAAGGACAATGCGGTCTAATGTTCAAAACAATCTTACACTCCCCCCACCCCCCTCTCCTGCCAATTCACAGAAGCTTTGCACGTTTATGGCACATAAAGAAAAAGTGTATATATAGTTTCTATATTGCTTTGCAGATTGCAAAATTCCACTTCCTATGAGACGGCTAACAGTCAAAACACATTCTGGGTTCATCGCCAAAGTGAAAATATCTAGGAATTTAATGTGATTCCCAAACAGTCAGGCTGAAAATAGAGCTTGGTCTAAATTTAGCAATTCATTATGAATTTCCTGCTATTCTCTCTAACCCTGATTGACAGTCTTGCAGAGTTGAAAGGGTAACTGTGAGCACTGTTACAACTTTTCATAATTGCAAAGTTTTTAATGGGAAAATATAGGGAAAACCAAACTTTTTTCCCTGGCACTATAGCTTCCACCTTTTTAAATTTAATTTAATTTTGTTTACTTTTTCCGTAAGGGATTGCAATCTTTTTGCAAACAATTAACCCCTTAAGGACACAACTTCTGGAATAAAAGGGAATCATGACAGAATATTTCCGTCATCTGCCCTTAAAGGGTTAATATTATTATATGGTAGCACAGGAACTGTTCTGCCTGATTAAATTATGTTTCTCACCTTCTCATGTGATTTGGACTTTGTGAGTATGTATTACTTTTACAGACAGCATGCTGCTAACTCAATATTATTCATTTGTCATCTTTTAGCTTTAAGACAGAGCTTATTCTTGAATTATTATATTTTTTTCTCATTTTTCAGTTTAATAGTTTTGATCAATAAGCAATAATATCAGATTACCCAAAGGCTGTTTTAACAAATTTTCCATATTTGTTTTACTTACGAAAATGTCTGTACCTGACTTGATTTCAGTGCTGGCAAAACCTACGTCAGTCAGCAGGGCCGGACTGGCCCACCGGGATACCGGGAAATTTCCCAGTGGGATGTCGGCACCTGGGGCCGGGCAGCCAGCTGGCTCACCTGTGGCCGCAGAGGGAGCTCCTTTGGCGGCCGCAGGGGGAGCTGGCAGTTCTTGCGGCCGCAGCGGGAGCTGGCTGTTGTGTCTCTGCTCCCCCTCCCCAGCACGCCGCTTTATAAGACCGGGGCCAGAATAGTGTCATATTCCGGCCCCGGTCTCATTAAACGGCGCGCAGGAGAGGGGGAGCGGAGACACAACAGCCAGCTCCCCCTGCGGCTGCAAGAACAGCCAGCTCCCCCTGCGGCCGCCAAAGGAGCTCCCTCTGCGGCCACCAGAAGAGCTCCCCACAGGTAGAAATTGTGTATGTGTGTGTGTGTGTCTGTGTCATTTGTGTGTGTGTCTGTCTGTCATGGTGTGTGTGTGTGTCTGTCTGTGTCATGGTGTGTGAGTGTCTGTCTGTGTCAGCAATGTGTGTCTGTGTCATTGTGTGTGTCTCTGTGTCATGCAATGTGTGTCTATGTCATGGTGTGTGTGTGTGTCTGTCATGTAATGTGTGTCTGTCTGTGTCATGGTCTGTGTGTGTCTGTGTCACTGTCTCTCTGTGTCGTGGTGTGTGTGTCTGTGTGTCACTGTCTGTCTGTGTATGGTGTGTGTGTCTTTTTTAAGGTGTGTGTCTGTCATGGTGTTTGTGTGTCTGTCTGTGTCATGGTGTGTCTGTCTCTCATGGTGTGTGTGTGTTTCTGTCTGTGTCACGGTCTGTCTGTGTCATGGTGTGTGTCTGTCATGGTATGTGTGTGTGTATGTGTGTTTTTACTCACCTTTTTTTTTTTTTCCCCCACGTCATGCTGGTCTCCCCTCGACTGGCCCTGCCTCTACGGCTGAGATCATCAAGCTTGATGATCTCAGCCAATCCGCACTGTCACAGGAAGCACCTCTAGTGACTGTCTGAGTGTCTGTTACTAGGAAGCAATGTAAACACTGCCTTTTTTCTAAAAAGTCAGTGTTTACATTGAAAAGCCTGCAGGGACAGACTATAGACACCAGAGCCACTACATTAAGCTGTGTGTGTGTGCGCACGATTGCTTGTGTGTGTGTGTGCCTGCTACTGAGTGAGCTTGTGTTTTTATGTCAATAACCTTATGTATGAGGCTGTGTATCAATCAGCTTGTGTCAGTGAGATTGTCTGTGTCTGCATGTGAGTATGCTTACTGTATAATTAAAAAATTTACTCTGAAAGGACCAATATTTTATATTGGAAAAAGATAGATAAAATATTGCCAGAGATAGCACTCCAAGGACTAATATAACTTTTATTATCTCCACTAAAACAACACAAGGTCAACGTTTCAGCTTGATCCCCTCAGGTTAACGTTTCAGTCCTCCTCTGGGACTTTCATCAGGAACAACAATAATGTCTCAAAAACTCATACATAAATAGAGGAAGTAATTAGCCTAATTGGTAATTGAGAAAATTGGCAAAATTATAAATTGCATTCCAAGAATTAACATAATCAACTAATATATACAAAAAGGAAATAATACTACCTGCCAGTATAATGCTGCACGAGCCGCCGGCGTCCCCAAACCGCCCGCGCACATGCGCGGGCAAACCCGGCCCTACAATTACGCAATTGCGCAACGCACGTCGGCAAGACGGCCGGAAAACAGATCGGCTTCTCGCAACGACAAATACGTTGGCAATCACTAAGCACATACACCGTGCACAAATCTACAGTGCTAAAAATGTGGTGACTAATGAATTATATCCGATCCCATGTGGGAGGCATATCTATATCTCTCTAAAGACACCACCGACCAGCGTCGTTAACTCCCGACATCCGTTGCCACGGAAACCGGAAACAACACCGGGTATCCGTGGCAACCAGGACGCTGGCAGGCACACGCCAGGCAGGGAAGCCAACTGCAAAGGAATAAAGTGAAAACCAATCCTAAAGATGAGGATAATAAATAACAATATGTTTATAAACCGCTGAAAGTACATTTAGATAGTGACTAATGTATAATAATAAATGGTATATATAGATACTATTAAACATAAATAAATAAAGCTAGATATTCTAAAAGTGCATATAGTGCTAGATCATCAGAGACTGAACCATAAAATGACAGTCTCTGCATCAAAAAAATATATTGAATAATTATACACATTGACAAAGTAACTACTGTGGGACCAGGAACAGTGTATGTATGTCATATTAAATATAATAATAATAAATGCATATATTCAGTAAAGCCAAGTAATCTTAAAGTGCATACAGTGCTAAAATCGACAGAGACTAAACTATATCCATGTCTGTTCTAACGTCTTGGATAATAATAAGCATCAAATCTAAAGAAGCTTTATTAAGCACAGAGGTCCAGTCTTTACAGACTTTTGCCTTACCCCGACCAATGGTGGGAATATTAAGTATGCGAAAGCCTCTTGGAATGCGCTTGGCTTTATAGTAGTCAGAGAGAAAAAGCCCATGTAGGTCAAGATCTATTTGTTTTTTATGTAAACGTAATAGTGAAAAATAAATATCCTTTAAGGATACTGAATGGGGTAGCTCCAACCCTGTTTGCTCCCATAAAATGGCCATAGCCTCATCTTGAGAAAATTGTAAAGTGTCAGCCTGTTCGGCATAGGCACCTGCTTGTAACAAAAAGTCATCCATGATCACTATAATAACATGTACCAAGTATACTGGTAAGAAAGTTCCTAAATGAAATATATTGATTAAATATGCAATTCCACCATTCAAAAAATATCAAAATGTGTGTATATAGCACTTATATTACACACAAAGTATACCGGTGCATAGGAAGAGTGATGTCCCCACACTCTTGAAATCCATAGAAACACAAAATCCTTGCACTCAGGCTTATAGGTTACAACATACCGGGTGCTTGTAGTCCTGGGGAAAAGTCCAATATCCAAATAGCAAGGGTGACCAGCACTCATAAAAATGGATTCATAATTTGATTAAAACATCCAAAGTTTAATGAAAAAAATTAAAAAAGATAGTTGACAGCTCAACGTTTCAGTCCTCCTCTGGTTTGTGCTTGAATTACTGTCTCTGGTTTTGAATAACAACTACTTTCGTTTTGAATAGAAATGGTACCTTCAGACTTCTGGTACATCGATGGGGGCCGCCATGGCCCCTATGTATGCCAATGCATATATGTACGTATACGAACAACGCCACATTCTATCAAATTATGGTCAATACATTCAAGGTTATTTCCGTTATATTGACGATTTGCTAATTCTTTGGAGCGGCAGTATTACAGAAGCCATGGATATGGTACAGGTACTTAATCACATTGATAGCCCTATTAAATTTACGTCTAACATCAGTTCGACAGTCCAATTTTTGGATTTAGAAATAGCCATCATGAACCATGGTTTATCGTACAGCCTTTATAGAAAACCTACTGACAGGAATACTATTTTGCACAATACCAGTGCACATCCGGCGGCATTGAAGAGGTCTCTACCTAAAGCTCAGTTTTTGAGAGTGATTCGTAATAATTCTGATACCAACGTCATGGAGGAACAACTGGAAACAATGATGGAGAGATTCCTTGAGCGTGGCTACCGACGTAATGACCTAGTGAGAGCACTAGAAGAAGCTAAGTCAGCTAACTCTCCTAGAGTCAAAGAAGGAGCTCCAAGGTTGATTTGCCCTATCACCTACGACGACGCATCACTGGAAGTTACAAGGATCATCAAAGACAATTGGAAAATGTTGTCATGTGATGACACATTGCCCAAGGTCTTTAAGGAACCCCCCCTCGTGTGTTATCGAAGGAATAAGAATCTAAGGGACCTGTTGGTACACACGGATCCTTCAAAAAGTTACGAGAAGGACATTCAGATGCAGGTTCGTGGTAGTGTCCGATGCCTTGGATGCGTCACTTGCGGGCATATGACACCTTCACGCACTTTTCAACATCCACACAGTAATAAGATATTTCAAATACGACATACGATCACTTGTAAGACCCCATATGTGATTTATAAGTTGTCGTGTCCGTGTGGCCTTTCATATATAGGCAAAACGGAAACTCCTCTGTGTGAGAGAATTAGGGGACACAGGTCCAGTATCAGGGTAGCCTACCGTGATGGTACCTCTGATCAACCTGTCGCCAAACATTTTCTTTCCTTACAGCACCCGCTATCAGCCCTTAAATTCTTGGCCATTGACCATATCCCCCCACTTAAACGTGGTGGGGATAGGGGCAAGCTTCTCTTGAATCGAGAGACATTTTGGATCTATACGCTGAGTACTATAACTCCTAAAGGTTTAAACTAAATGATTTCATATCACTCTTTTATTTAATTCTTTGTTACTATTGTTTTTATGACTATAGGTAGCATACTGTATATGTATATTTCAATAGATGTACCTATTTCTTGTTTTATTTTATATTGTGGTTAGTTGTGACTGCAGAGCCGCCCGATCCTCTACGTGGCGATTTTTTAATGGCCATTATTTATCATCCCCATTTGACTGTCCTGAGTGCTTAAGATGGTTGGACCCTATAGTCCAGGGGTAGGCAACCTACGGCACTAGTGCCATGCACGGCACTCGAGGTGCCTTTGCACGGCACTCAAGGCTACAAGAGCCAAATAGGCTCTCGCCTGTCAGGAGTCCCAGTGAAACTTCAGATATCTGCTAATACGAAAAAGTGGTGAAGGACAATCCTCCATTTATGCATTGCAGCACGTAGAGGAAGTGATCTCAGATCACTTCCTCCCAGCACTTGTGAATGGGAATCCACACTGGAGTAGAGCAGCCCATAGCTTCCCGTTGCAGCTTCTGTCCTTGAGCTGTACCTGGCCAGCCTGGTCCCCACTGAAACCCAGGGAAGCCTCAGAGCTGCAGAATAACCCTCCCCTAATACAAATAATACAAACACACACACAGTCCGCACAAACACAACACCACCAACAATCCACATACATGCACACAACCCCACATACAGCCTCTCTAATGCAATACCCCAAACAGCCCCACACATACTCTAACTACCAAATACACAATGTGACATATCCATCCACACACAATTCCACAAGCAGCCCCCATACACAGCCCAAATTCATAGGTATTATACATGATACCACAAACTATTAATGAACATATACAATATAATAGCTCATATACGCACACATACAACGATACAAAGCAAAGCAGTATATATAACACAAGCAGAATATGGCAACATGCACACTTCAATTTAAAGAAATAGGACCGACCCGCTACGGGACATCACAATTATATTTCGGCACAGTGCTACTAAAAGGTTGCCTACTCCTGCTATAGTCTATATACATTACATCACATATACACCTGTTGCCAGATGCAGAGACTATTACTATATAGTTTAGTCTCTGTCGATTTTATCACTGTATAAAAGTCTGTAAATACTGGACCTCTGTGCTTAATAAAGCTTCTTTAGATTTGATGCTTATTATTATCCAAGACGTTAGAACAGACATGGATATAGTTTAGTCTCTGTCGATTTTAGCACTGTATGCACTTTAAGATTACTTGGCTTTACTGAATATATGCATTTATTATTATTATATTTAATATGACATACATACACTGTTCCTGGTCCCACAGTAGTCACTTTGTCAATGTGTATAATTATTCAATATATTTTTTTGATGCAGAGACTGTCATTTTATGGTTCAGTCTCTGATGATCTAGCACTATATGCACTTTTAGAATATCTAGCTTTATTTATTTATGTTTAATAGTATCTATATATACCATTTATTATTATACATTAGTCACTATCTAAATGTACTTTCAGCGGTTTATAAACATATTGTTATTTATTATCCTCATCTTTAGGATTGGTTTTCACTTTATTCCTTTGCAGTTGGCTTCCCTGCCTGGCGTGTGCCTGCCAGCGTCCTGGTTGCCACGGATACCCGGTGTTGTTTCCGGTTTCCGTGGCAACGGATGTCGGGAGTTAACGACGCTGGTCGGTGGTGTCTTTAGAGAGATATAGATATGCCTCCCACATGGGATCGGATATAATTCATTAGTCACCACATTTTTAGCACTGTAGATTTGTGCACGGTGTATGTGCTTAGTGATTGCCAACGTATTTGTCGTTGCGAGAAGCCGATCTGTTTTCCGGCCGTCTTGCCGACGTGCGTTGCGCAATTGCGTAATTGTAGGGCCGGGTTTGCACGCGCATGCGCACGGGCGGTTTGGGGACGCCGGCGGCTCGTGCAACATTATACTGGCAGGTAGTATTATTTCCTTTTTGTATATATTAGTTGATTATGTTAATTCTTGGAATGCAATTTATAATTTTGCCAATTTTCTCAATTACCAATTAGGCTAATTACTTCCTCTATTTATGTATGAGTCTTTGAGACATTATTGTTGTTCCTGATGAAAGTCCCAGAGGAGGACTGAAACGTTAACCTGTCAACTATCTTTTTTTATTTTTTTCATTAAACTTTGGATGTTTTAATCAAATTATGAATCCGTGAGTGCTGGTCACCCTTGCTATTTGGATATATATATCAATCATCTAGGGTTGCAAATCATAGCCTTACATATTACATGCGACAATATATGGCGCAATGACTTATGGGGCTGGCATTTATTTTTTTCCCAGGGCTGCTTTGGAATCCCCAGTCCGGCCCTGTCAGTCAGGCAGTTGTTTCAGAATATTAACATTCATTGTAACAGGAAAATGATATATCTTCAAAACAGGAAGACTTCCTGACACAACATCTTGTAATGTATTCATCTGGCGGGTTTGTGTTTTCATGTGACATTTTTGTATTCCTGGATCATGTTATTTCTTTCACACAGAATTTCCACCACAACAGCAATCGTCCGTGCAGGCCTGCAGGGTAATTATAGCAATGTTTTGAGAATTTATTTAATTTTATGTGAACAATTCTATT